TAAGAATAATATGACGATAGTACAATCTCAATTACAATGGATAGATACTTAACATCTATCATCCACCCTCGGCATCAGCATCAGCATCATCAGCATCTCTCAGCATTTCCACCCTACTAAATTACATCCAGGCTTGCACAACTTCTGTACCTTACCCAGACCAGTTTAGATTGGTTGACTGGTGAGTTGGCTGGGGAAGGCCAAAAAGCGGGTCAACGGGTCGGATCTCGCTGCCTCATTTAAATGCGAGCATAGCTTACAGATTACGGAGTACTGGACGCACTTAACCAGCTGTTAGCGAGCCATCCACCGAGGGGCTCATGTTCTCTGATACGAGTAAGGGTAGGGTAGTAACGGTCCAGCCGATGACGAGCACAGCCCAATCGATAGTCGAGAATCGAACAAAGTTCAGCTCCGAAGTCATCATCGAGGAGGGAGCAAGCTGCTGGTCAAAAAGAGTCAATCGGGGTTGAATACGAGCCAGTACAGATGAGGAGGGAAGTAGCTCAGGAAGCTACTGAGGACGGCGTGGGTCAAGAATGGTCATTGCATGGTTGCAAGAGGAGACACCTGAAACTGGCAGGCAGCACGGGAGTGACTCCGAGTGAGTGATTCTCAAAATCGAGGTGGACACCGCAATGCAATGAAATAATCATGAGGCCGATGGAACCGGGACTGGAGCTCTAAAACAAGGGCCTGAACGTGTGCGGTGCTGTCCCTTGCCTTGGTCGGTGAAATAAGGCTCCAGTGAGGTCTGGGATGTTATTATTGTTGTTGTTTCTCTTTTGGGGTATCTCTCCGATCCATGGAGTAGATCATTTGATCAATATCAGAAGCTTTGAAGAAGACAGCAAGTGACAGCCAGCCAACTTTGAAGAAGGATCGGTGTAGGTTTAAGGCACGGAATATGTGGTTGACAGCTCATAGTAGGTATGTACAGTATTGTACACCGTCTCGCCCGAAAAGTAAAGGGAGAAATATGAAGACCTGAATGGCCCAGCCAGCCAGACCGCGGTGGACGCGGACAGCAGGCAAGCGATCAGTTAAGCTAAGGTAAAAGACTCGAAAAATCACCATCAGGGGGGAGAGATGGAAGAGAGGGACAAATCAAACCACTGTTTCATCGAGGGGGCGGCGGATGGAAATAGAATAGTAGTCGATCGTCATCTCAGGAACCAACTGGGCAGTAATCGCCAGTGCCCCGGCCGTCATTGGCTGGGTCGGAAGATTACGGTGGCACCAGAGGCTGGATACCTCAGGTACCAGTTGCCCGTACCTGCCTTAGTCCATGGAGCTGGTCACCTTGTCATGTTAAGTCGCTGAGTTAGTACTCCGTACTACACTACTCATAGTCAATTAAAGTAGGAGGCTGGGGCTAATTAGACTAGGTACAGTACGGAGTACATTACGAGGGAGACCGTCAGATGGATGTCGATGGTACTGTGCCTGGTATCTAACCTTGTTACCTCACTCCCTTTGCCCACCACTTCACGACCACCCACGGTTGACCCCTTCCCTCGGTTCTGTCCCAAAGGTTCAGCTCATCAATTATTGCTCACATGCGGGAGCTTATTTGAGTGCAAACCCACGGTAACCGAAGGACCCTTGTCTGAGGGCTTTCTTCGCTTTCCCTCTCGCTCCCTTTTGCTACCGATCACTTTGAGATCGATCACCAGTGTCATATCATCCCTCACACCCCTCCTTCCTGCAACCGCTCTGTAGATACGACATGTTCCATTGTGAATATTCTCCGTCCACACTGCACCTAGCGTCGTCATCTCGCGAGAACCTTATGCTTCCATTCAATGCAATTGTCCATCAAGCCCAGAAACCATATGCAATAGCCATAACTACACTAGTAAATACCGACCCTTTCTGGCGCAAATACGCATCGTCAAGTCACTCCGCTTGGCTCCAACATCATTATTAAGGTGCATGAAGGGCTGACAACCAGACCCCGGCGGGCGCAAATCCTTATAGTAGCGCGCGCTTGCGTCCAGGCCAACAGCAATAACAACAGCAATAACCAGGGGGGGGGGGGGGGGGGGGGGAGGGGGGGGCAAACCTCGTACAGAACCATACTCTTCTCATGAAAATAGAACTGCCCCCGACTCGGGCAGGGATACCCCCAACTAGTGTAAAGCAATGGGCCAAGCAACCATCCAGGATACCTTGTCGCAGGGCCCTCTCATGCGGGGGGATCAGGGAACTGCTTATGGATTGGAGCTGGCTAAGTAGGGAGCGAACCTCGCAAATTAATGCCGCTGAGCGCCGGAGTTGTTCAGCGTGCGAGTACGAATAGACAATTGGAACGCTCTACCACCGTCTGACACTACTAGTGTAAGGCTCGGAGAATATGCCATAAAATGGGAATGGGTTCAGCGCACCGGCGATATCCGCTAAGGGACTTTGGGCACCTAGCCATTGGCCGCTCACGGCAAATGAAGCGCATGCCATCGGCTGCATTGATTAGGGTACAGTGCAGCTGTGCTTATACCGATGGATGCTGTGATGATATCGGTCCGCTTTTACAAGATGCAGAAACAAAGAACAAAAAACAAAAAACGACAGCAGTCGGATTTGAACCGACGCCTCCGAAGAGAATAGATTTCTAGTCTATCGCCTTAGACCGCTCGGCCATACTGTCTTGATGCTACAGAGGGAGCATAGCAGGAACTATGCTGCATGGGAGTCTCTAGTGAGAGAAAATAGGCATAGCCTTTTAGAGTAACCAATGGACGAGGGGTGGTGCCCGTTACTACGTCACTATTATGTTCTTTAATGTTCTTGCTATGCACCTGAATCTACCTGCAGGTTATCGAAGGAAGACTTATTCGCAATGCTAATGAAAAGAAAGGAGGATAGGTGTGATTATGTGAATAGATGCACTACCGACGCAATCCTGGAAGAGCAGATGGTTAATTGTCTTGTGTCTTCTGGAAAGACAGGGAGGGACAAGCCGCAACGCAAGGAAGGCAGGACTCACTGACGACCAGAGACAATGGGACCCACCCTGAAGGCGCTAGTGCGGAAGTGAGCGGGCAAAAAAAGAAACGACAGCAGCCGGATTTGAACCGACGCCTCCGAAGAGAATAGATTTCAATGATGATTCAAGTCTATCGCCTTAACCACTCGGCCATACTGCCTTTGATGAATAATAGTGCTGTTGCTTAGTTATATACCCACCTCGCAAGCTCAATATATCAGATTTTTAGCCATGCTACTCTGGAATACAAAAATACTTATCACCTTGCTAAACAAAGGCTCAAGAAGTCTATTACATGCCAATTCATCCTCAATTTTCTATGTTTTACTAATTCTGGCCACCGTAGGTCGTGCTGCAATGCAGGAATCAGATTACATCCACCTACCACACTCCACCCCTGATTGTTGCGCTGGTGTAAAATACCTAAAAAGAAATTCTGAACATCTGCGGGGGGGGCCTGATCAAGGCTTTTATATCCACCTTACAAAAAACACAGTCTAAGCTTAAGGTCGGGGGCAGAATGTATAGAGTGACATTTCCAATTTGCAGTTTTAAACAGCATAGTATAAGGGAAATACTCTACCCTACTAGCTCTATAAACCATGCCATAAACACTAAGTATAACAGATCAGATCCGAACTAAGATTGAACATAAGTCGATTGGTTTGACTACTGTATTCCCGAGCTCTTTGAAAAATGAAGGCTTATTTAAAGACGACAAATAAGATCTAATTCTTAAACTGCAAGACCTGTAGTATTATCGGTTTCCACGAGGAGATTGATAATTCTAGATAACGCTTAAAGGTCGCCCTTTTAAGACTCGGCTTTGTCTGCATTAACCTATTCTTCTGTAACCCCTCCCCCAAAGTTAATAATGCAAGGATTATTATTTGCGTTAATAAGAATATTGTCCGGCTTTGTATTACCCCGGATAATTCCTGCGGCATGCAGCCTTTTTATTACTCCCGCCTGCTGGACTGCGTCTACCAGTATACTCTGCCGTGACAGCAATGTGCACAGCTAGCATGAAGCCTGGCCATGTCGACTCTATACGTGATCCATTAGGCCAGGGGATGATGAGTCGAGAAGCAAAAAAACGACAACAGTCGGATTTGAACCGACGCCTCCGAAGAGAATAGATTTCTAGTCTATCGCCTTAGACCGCTCGGCCATATTGTCTTGTTCATGGTGAAATGATGACAAGATGCCATCCTGTTTCTAAACAATCACTGTTAGAGTAACCTGAAGCATCACAGGGTATTTTCTCATATGTGTACGTCGCGATATCGTTAGTGGTATACTGTAGAATATTGTGTGCGGCTGTATAGAGCTTCATTCAGAAGTATCCTGGGTGTGCCGTCTGTTCAGGCGTCTGGACACCTAAGGCGCTGATTTCGGTCCCATCATGTATATATGGTGGGCTGCCCGTGTGGCCTGCGCATACGTACATTTTTGCTGGACGGACCAGACACCGACAACAGCACAGGCACTGGAATGAATCGAGTCACTAATATACAAACGTGAAAGCTATGACCCGACTACACCGACACAATCCGACCGCACCGCCCAGCGTCACCCCTGCAACCACAGCACGACAGTGGCAACACACCCCTCTCACCGCATCTAGAATCCTACACAGCAGTTGTCATAGAATAAGAACCAAACCCAAAGGTCAAAGCACCACACCGTGCCCTCCCATCCATCTAACTCCCTTAAACTGTCACAAGGCATTGCAGGTAAAGGTAGGAACCTGGTCAAGTCAGTCATCATCACATGCACCTGGGTGTCTGGAGCATGTGAAAGTCGACCCCACCCTGACCCCGATATCAGAGGTTTACTCCAAACGACCCTAGTCTACCACGAGATACCCAAGAAACGGACGTCACCTTACCGGTATGAGAACGGGCGGCCGCTGGCATTACTGGAAGAGCGTGCCGCCTGCCCGGCCCGTAGATGACCGAGCACAGTAGGCATGACCAAAAGCCGATAGAGGTTACAACGAAAGGATGAAGAAGACCGTGACATCAGACCACGACAACTATAAGACCACAACGATACCAACAGCGTGAGCATAGAAACCGCATTAGAATTGCCCCCAAGGCATCCGAAAATCTCAAATCATAAGATCATCACCGCATTACAACATGAATAAACAGGGACCGAATCGACGACCACATCACCCCTTCGCCCCAGACTTTGAAGCCCTCCCACAGGATGCGTTCCCCGCGGCACTGTACGCAGGTGGCGGGGTCGGAGTAGGCGACGGCGCTCTCCCTCCGTAGGAGGCTTGTGCCTGACTGCCACTCGCCTCAGCAGGGAGTTCACCGCCATCGCCGGTACCAACAACCACCTGCTTGCCGTCACGCATGCGCCCAACAACCATGCCCCGGGCGACAGACTTCAGGAAAGCCTTGCGGCTGACACCCGAGGCATCGATGTACACCAGCCCAACGTTCTTAACCCCGCCGGTCAAGTTGGATGCCACAGCCCCGGCCTGATCGCCGTACCGGTGTCCAACCATAGTGGTGGCCGCGTTTGAGCTAGAGGTCAAGACGTGCCGGGCACCCTGCTCAATGCCGTCCGCCAGAGTCGAGAACGCGATCAAGGACTTATTCAGTATCCCGGGCTTATACTCGTTGCCATACTTGTCGATACCCCTTTGTCGCTCCGTGTTGTTCCGGCGGGCCAGCGATGCCCCAATATTCTGGGCATATCTCCCAACCTGGCCAACAGTTTTGGCCGAGAGATCGGCGGCGCCCTCAGAAAAGGTGCCAACCTTGCGGATGCGCGAGTGAGTGGTCTCGGAGAAGGTCATCGGCTTCGGGTTTGGCTTTGTCTTCCTGGTGAAGGTGTCGGCACCACTCGTAAGTGCGTTGGCGAGATATGTAGACCCGGTGACAATCAAACGTGAGGCCTTCGCGGAAGTCTGGACGATGGTCGACTTCTGGTAAGCCGGGTGACGTGCCATACGTAGATACTCCTCGGACACGTTGCTGACATTGACCTTGTTGCCCTCGCCTTCGGAAGGAAGCTCAATCTCCACGGGCCCTAGTGAGGTTAGAATCATTCTGCGACCACGAACAATGGAGATCAGCCGTGCAGTATAGAATCACTTACTCTTCGAGCCAGGTTTGACGTCCAGTCTTTCCACGACGTCATAGCCCTCCATCTCACCCACCACACTGCCATCCTCCTCATCAACCAGAACAATTCTACCATGCGCATCACCCCCAGAAGAAGCGGCAGAAGAGACATATCCCTCACCGGGTGCATACGTCGAGGGGTTGTAAGGAGCATGGTCCCCGGCTGGAGGTGCGCGGTCGAGGAATGCAGTGCATTGAGCGAGGATCGTCTCAAAGGTGTCGATATCCTCCTGTGTCACTCTGCCAGGTCCATGTCCGATCGAGGGAAACTGGATGCGAATAAAGGCTCCTGCATCGGGACCCAGATCCCAACGGGGGATTAGGTAGCTGTTCGGCGGCTGATGGAAAATCTGGGTGGTTGCAGGGAGAGCCAAATCCAGCTCCGGTGGCAAATTCAGATGAAGATAGAAGTCTTCCTCTGTGAGTGCATCCTGGGAGGACACGGGGAACGAGCTTCCGGGGATAGCGGTCTTGGTCGGGACCATCAACAAAGAAAGTGTTTGCGGCCCCGACGGAGTGAGCTCCGACTCCTCGCCGTTCTGGATGTGAAAGGCGCGAATGTGGTCAATACTGTACAGAAGTCTTGGGTCATGCATGGTGGAAGCCATGGCTGCGACTCCGTTGACTCTGGGCCGGTTGTGACGAGGGAATCAGGATAAAAAAAAAGAACCGCGAGGGCTGTCGACGTCAGGTGGGGACAACGGGTCGGTAATGCGGGGGGAGGGGAGCCGATAATAGAACAAACACGGTTGCAATGAAGGCGAGATAAGCAATGAGGATTGAACTAGAGGAGTAGTTCTTAAGTAGGTAGAGAAGGGAAGAATTGATAGAAACCTGCCACCTGGGAGACAGGCCATAAATAGCTAGACACAGCGCCCCCGTGCCTCATGGCTGGCCAAGTCCGTCATGGAGGGGTGTGGGACAGCAGTGGGAATGAACGTCAGACCCTGGAATGACATAAGCACCCTGACGCCTCCTGACGCCTGCTGCGCCACACTTCCATCACCCCCTGCACCGCCACCGATTGATAAGGCGAGCTGTGAGTGGCTGGGAAAGGGCAACAACTGACCTACACAGGCCCAACGTAAGTGTACAATAATACGTGTACCGTGGACTTCACCACCACCCCAACGATCCCAGCAGAAGAGCGTCCCAAGAGGCAAATTGTTCGAGTCCTTCCAATCAATCCTTCGAATCGCCTGAAATCACCATCCGTGGTAGCTGAAACCGACCAGCGGCTCCAGGGACCTTTTTTTTTTAGCATCCCCGGGCGCTTAAGCACTGGCCTCCGACTGTACTATTGTAAGTCGTTGAGCTACTACTAGCCCATCCTACAAGCGATCTGGACATCGAATCGAATCGCACTGAGCCAGCGCTCCCCTTCTCCCCCGCAAGCATGGCACAGTTCCAGATTCTTTCCGACCTACACCTCGAAAACCCGCGAGCATACGACCTCTTTGAGATCACCCCGACCGCGCCCTACCTCGCCCTGCTGGGTGACATCGGCAACGTCAAAGACGACGGCTACCTGCAATTCCTCGAAGCCCAGCTTCAGCGGTTCAAGATCGTCTTCCTCGTCCTGGGCAACCACGAGCCCTTCGATGCCAGCTGGCCGGCCACGCGCGAACGCCTGCAGCAGTTCTCCGAGGAGATCGACAACCGGCGTCAAAGGGCGGCGGCGACGACGACGTCGTCGCCGCGGCTGGGAGAGTTCGTCCTCCTCGACCGCACGCGGTACCGCCTCACGCCCCAGGTGACGGTCCTGGGCTGTACATTCCACTCGCGCGTGAGCGAGACGCAGGAGGAGACCGTCAGCCACGCCCTGAACGACTTCCACTACATCCAGGACTGGACGGTCGAGCAGCACCGCGCGGCCCACGAGGCCGAGCGGGCCTGGCTCAACGACCAGGTCACCGACATCGCCCGGGACGATCCGCACCATCGCATCGTCATCTTCAGCCACCACAGCCCGACCGTCGCGGCGGCGGCCGTGGATCCGCGCTACGCCGACAGCCCGATCACGTCGGCGTTCGCGACGGACCTCATCGGGGAGCCGTGCTGGGAGCGACCGCAGGTGCGCCTGTGGGCGTTCGGCCATACGCACTACAACTGCGACTTCAAGGACGATCGGTCCGGGAAGCGGATCGTGGCGAACCAGAGGGGGTACTACTTTGCGCAGTCCATCAAATTCGATCCCGGCAAGGTGTTTTGCGTTTGAATGGGTGTTCGACGTTGACGAGCTTGAAAGTCATTTTGTGTTTGAGTTGAAATTTGTTCCTGTTTTTTTTTTGTTTGATATATAGATTAGTATAGTATATTCATAGCGACAATAGAGCATAGCATTTCCCCTCCTGTGGTAACGCTGCAAGATGCAAGATGATGCTGCCTCATAATGTGCGGGGGATGTATGGAATGATTGAAGAATGAATGAATGCCTTTGTCTCGGACGGATGATCTGCAGGTGGATTGCACCAATCCATGGGACCCATGAGACCCATGGGAACGCCGCGTTTAGCCGAGGCTCGAAATACCTCGGCCTCGTGATTAGCTTTTGGGTTGTCTCTCTCCCCGGGCCATTTCCCCAGAACCTTGAACGCTGGCTTCCCTTTCCCCGTTCCCCGTTCTCCGTTCCCCATTTCCAATTCTCCTCGCCATTGCCTCGACGCGCACCTCAAAGAAACCCCCTCCCGCCATATTCATCCTCCTGCTGGATTCTGTTTGGTCTCATCATTAGCCAGCTAAACATATACCCGAACATCCCGCACTCCCTCCCACAATCACAATGACGAGCCTCTCCCGCGTATTGCGGCCTTTGTCCCGCACCGCTGCGTCCGCCCGCCTTGTCGCGACCAGACCGCCGTTGCGGACCCGAGTTCTTCCTAGGTATGAGGTTCTACGCGAGGTGTCCACCGACCGATATCGAATCCCAGAAACTAACCGCAACATCAAACCCGCGCAGCAGTACCCAAGCATTCTCCACCACGTCCCGCCGGCGGGACGTCGACCTGTCCGGGCTGACGCCGACGCCGATCACGTTCCTGTCGGAGACGGAGTCGCTGATGGCGGAGAGCGTGGCCAAGTTCGCACAGGAGCAGATCAGCCCGAAGGTGCGGGCGATGGACGAGGCGGAGACGATGGACGCGGCGGTGGTGGAGCAGCTGTTCGAGCAAGGGCTGATGAGCGTCGAGGTGCCGGAGGAGTACGGCGGGGCGGGGATGAACTTCACGGCGGCGATCGTGGCGATCGAGGAGCTGGCGCGGGTCGACCCCAGCGTCAGCGTGCTGGTCGACGTGCACAACACTCTGGTCAACACCGCGATCCTGAAGTACGGCGACGCCCAGGCCCGCCGCACCTGGCTGCCCCGGCTGGCCACCGGCACCGTGGGCTCCTTCTGCCTCTCGGAGCCGGCCTCCGGGTCCGACGCCTTCGCCCTGCAGACCAAGGCTGAGAAGACCCCCGACGGCTACCGGCTCAACGGCTCCAAGATGTGGATCACCAACGCCATGGAGTCCGGCATCTTCATCGTCTTCGCCAACCTCGACCCCAGCCAGGGGTACAAGGGCATCACCGCCTTCATCGTCGAGAAGGACACCCCGGGCTTCTCGATCGCCAAGAAGGAGAAGAAACTCGGCATCCGCGCCAGCAGTACCTGTGTGCTCAATTTCGATGATGTCGTCATCCCGAAGAGCAACCTCTTGGGCGAGGAGGGTCAGGGATACAAGTACGCGATCAGCGTGTTGAATGAGGGCCGCATTGGGATTGCGGCGCAAATGACCGGCCTGGCGCTGGGCGCGTGGGAAAATGCTGCTCAGTAAGAGGATTCCCCGCCTTCCCTCCCCCCCCCCTTCCAGAACCATCGTTCCATCGCTCGAATTCTCCATTCTCCACCGTATCTTTGATTCTACCTCCGGCACCAAGCATTCTGCAGGGATCAATCCGTTGACCATGTCCGACACAGGTACGTCTGGAACGACCGCCGCCAGTTCGGCCAGTTGATCGGCAATTTCCAGGGCATGCAGCACCAGCTGGCGCAGGCGTATACCGAGATCGCCGCCGCCCGCGCGCTGGTCTACAACGCGGCGCGGAAGAAGGAGGCCGGCCAGGATTTCGTCCAGGACGCCGCCATGGCCAAGCTGTACGCCTCGCAGGTCGCCGGGCGCGTGTCCAGCTCCGCGGTCGAGTGGATGGGCGGGATGGGCTTCGTGCGCGAGGGCATCGCCGAGAAGATGTTCCGCGACAGCAAGATCGGGGCCATCTACGAGGGCACGAGCAACATCCAGCTGCAGACCATCGCCAAGCTGCTGCAGAAGCAGTACACTCGCTAAGAGTGCAGAGTATTCAACCTTGTATGAGGATGTTTGACAATTGAGCATTGGCCGCACTCAGTAGTGCCAGTGCTAACCGCTCAAGTAATGAACATATTCGAACTAGATAACTACTACGTACTACGCACTGTACCACACTGGAACTCTAGAGTCCTAGAGACTCACTAGATTGAAAATGGCGTGATCGTAATAAACTCCACTTCCGCCGAAAAGGGCCTTCTGCTAGACTGCCTAGTCTTTTCCAAAATCCTTTTCTTTTTTCTTTTTTCTTTTTTTTTTTTTGTGCTCGCTCTCTGTTCCTGGTCGCGGGTTGGGAAAGCGGGCCCCGTTTCTTTGTTGGAGCTCTTCAAAGGTTCCAACTCCAAGTCTCGGGGTCGATTCTTCTTCGAGGCTTAGTCTAGCTTGGGAAAACAGGAAAGGAACCACCCCCCTCCCTTCCCCCCATCCCATCGGAAATCAAAACCGATCTACTACCTACCGTAATTGCGGATGCATGTATGAGTATTTTGACAAGTGGGCAATTGGGCCACTGTGAAGAACGCGCCCCCCCCCCCCCCGTAATCCTCTAATCTAACAAGCGAAGAAAATGCCAGAACAGGTCCCCCAATAATGCTCGTCTAATCCGATCGAAAAGCGGGCTACATAAATGCATACAAAAGGGAAATTGATCATCGTGGGAGGGGGAGGGGGCATCGGCTGGAGCCGATAGTCCAGCCGTGAAATTCTTTATCCAATAATGTAGCACAAAATGGGAAAGGTCCTGGAAGATAGATAATGGAATTGATTCCGACGGGGAAGAGATTTTGAATTCTGCACGGTTCAGAATCTCGATCAAGCACTTTCACTTTGATTTGGAGTCCCGCCAGCCCCGGCACTTCTGGTGGTCCTTTGTGTCAAAGCAGGCAATCTTGTTGCTTGTTCCTGGGGAGCTGGTGACTTGTGTGCAGAGCCTCAAGGTGGTGATGATAATGACTCGGATGGTGCACCTGCAACCCGGGTAACGTGGGTTTGCAACCGGCTCCTCCCCGAGCCGGGCTCCGGCCCAGTACCGTGGTTGGCTCCATTCGCGCCATTCACGTTCCGGAAATTTGGTAATAGCATGTGGGTTCAAGGTTTGATTCACCCTCGCTTCTCGAATAAACGAATCCTTGCAGCCTTGCATAACGTTGACTTTCGCTTATCTTTCTGACTCCGCGGACTGGTTCAAACATCCTTTTTTTTTTCTTGGTCCCCAATGTGTGCACATCGTCCCGATCATGCCGGTGAAAAATGTGCCAAGCTCGTGGCGTATCTCCTGCATCGAAAAGGTCGGGGATGCTGTGCCGAAACGTTGGGTTAGGCTGCCTAACGAGCCAAACCTCCCGGGCACCTTAGTCCGAAAGAGCGTTGGGGGGAGGGGGCGCTCTGGAGTCCGGATAACATCACGGCTGCTGCAAGATCCCGGAGACCGAGCAGTCAAATCCTAATTCGGACCGACCTCTTATCCAAGTCAATGTGCATTCTCCGCGCCCTTTGCCGTTGGACAAGCGGAACGGGTGCGTTTCATCGCTTGCCACGGATCGTATTATGCTGGGTTCTGTAGCCTCTGAGCCTCTTCTGATTCCTCAAGAGTCAAGATTGATGATGGCTCCAGTCATAGCTATACTCGTTCCTCGGCTGTGTCGAATGGGACGGAATGGTATGCTCGTGATATTGCTGTGGTGCCTGGACAACAGGATACCCCGACGAGTCTCTTTCCGAAGAACAAGTCGGCACCGACATCGATCGTTGGCCGGGAACACAGGGTATTTGGGGTTGGGCGTGGTGTGAGCTCTCCTGCCCGAGACCACGGATAGCCTCGGGGTGGTAGCCCTGCGGATAAGGCGGATAACCCGAATCAGGAGGCTGGGTCGGTTGTGCACAGAGGGAAGGATTGTAACCAATATGGGCTGAAGCGACCGGTAGCGGGTTGGGCGCTTGGATGTGACTTTCATAGACATATGGCTCGAGCCTAGCCCCGTAGCTTGTGTCCGAGGGGTCGCCTACGGAAGATGTCCGAGCTGAACCGTATGGTTGCCACTCGGGAGCAATGGATGTTCGACTTGATGTGGACAGCACGGAAGCTGCCCTGGAAGCTGGATTCAAGCTCAAGGAGTCCGGGAGATGAGGTGAAGGTAGCATGGACCCGGAGGGAGTGCTGTATGAGCCATCTGACAAGCAGTAAACATGGTGATCAGCAATTGGGGCATGATGGCCTATAGGGAGGAATACACTATGTCACTCACCCAGGCTCGGATGACCCTGCCTGCCTGTGGCCAAGGCTAATTGGTGTCTTAAGGAACGAATCTCCATCTCCATGGCGGTATTTCGTCGGACTATCTCGTCGAACCGGTCGCCTTTGATTTTCAGCTCCGCCACCTGATGCTCTAGACGCTCGATATGCTCCTTTGTCCGCTGACGAATGGTTCTTTGAGCCTCACGGTCATTGGCACGCTTCCTTTCTAGTTGCTCGGCAGAGAGCGACGTCACTTTTCGTGCTCCAGCACGCGATTCGCGTTTCTTCGTCTGCGGAGGTTCCGGGGCAGGGCTCATTCTGCCAACCGACTCGTAGCCAGCTTGATAGTCTCAATGATCAAAGAAGCGACGGTCATATGGGACAGGGATATATGTAGATGGGGGTGCGATAAGCCCCGAGTTTTGTGCTGGTTGGCCCCGGAGGAAGACAGAGAAGTAGAGAGAAGCAGTTCTCTCAAGATGCGACTATAGCTGTTCCGAATGCGTGGGTCGCACTAAACTAGCTATATATATGTTATGTTTCCAGCGGGACAAGAAGGAGCCACCAGATTTTAAACAAAAACAAGACTGGCGGTTAGTTAAGATAAGTTAGTAATCGTTGTTGAGAATTATGGTTAGGAAATGGACCCATTTTGGCTCGGGCTGTGAAGCCCCATTTCGGAAGGCCGTCAGATTCGCGCAGGTTTAGGCACGTAAACTGCAAAGGTAAAGCCCCCCCTCCGGGGGGAACCTTAGTAGATCGTGTACATAGCAAAACGAGGGAAAAATTCAGGACTAAGAGGAGAGAAGGGCTTTTCCCCCGTCGGCTGTCCTCCGTGGATTTTTTCCCAACATTACTGGTCATTACCAGTGGTCTTCGTCTCTAGCCTCTAACAGGGCCAATGAGCAAGGCTTTGTCACTAAAATCCCTGTATAGTAGGTCAGTAGTAAGTAGTCAGCACGCTATTACGATGGGGTTGTTCCGGCGCTGCGCTATGTGTGCTTTGCCGACTTCCGCCTAGTCCCCTCCCCCTCTCTCTCACCAATCTACTAACCTACAAGCATACTCCAAGGCTCTTGGGGAGGGGGGTAAGAGGTGACTAGGCAGACTAGAGGTTTAGACAGCCTAGTCGGGGTGTGTGACGGAATGGCTGATGCGACGGACTGAGTCGCCCCTCTCCTTCGTCAGGTGCCCGACACTGCTGGACACTGCTGCGTCGTAACATGCCAAATGAAGGCAGATCTGGCAGGGTGTCATTTGTCCTTGCAGCACCGACTGAAAACAGCATTGTCAGAATAAAAGCAACCAGAGATCCAGAGAGCATTGTCCCTCCCATAGGTAGAGGTCAGCCAATCGGTGGATCTTAGTCTATCCGGGCCACATGGCAACCCCGATTGAGCGGCGGATACGGCCCTCTAAGCGGGAGCGAAAGGAAACCTCAGTATGTCATGGCTTCGCCAGAAGAAGACACTCACGGGCTTGAATTGGCTTTCGAGAACTTCTTGGCAACTTGGTCTCCTACAGGTTGGAAGCTGACCGAAGAACAAAAAGTGGCAATTGAAAGGGGGGGGGGGGGGGGGGGGG